TATAATGAAAACAGAATTGGTCCTAGTACAGAACATCATGTAGAAGTTGTGTTTGTTTGTGTTTTTATTAAATTGCCTATGCAGATACACAAAAACACCACTGTGTGTTGGAAAAGGAAAAGGAAGTTATACTCTGCCACGGAGAGAGTGAACACCAAACGAGAACTCCACCCAAAGGTTCCCCTATGTCATTATCTTATAATGGGATGCTGTTCCACCCTCCATGGTTCACAAAAAACCCAGGACCACAAGTTCTCTTTCTAACAGTTTGGTCCAAATGTCAGAGTGTGATGGTCTACACCAGCAGACCATGTGGAGCAGAGAATAGAGGATCCAAACACAGACTAAATGAAGCATGGAAACTAATCTTGATTTTAACAAAAGGCAATTCGTTTATTGTGGCTGGTGAAAAGATATAAAACAAAGGGCAAAGGTGAAACTAAACAAAAGCCCAAACTGAGTAATCAAAAATTAAACATGAAAACACCCTGAACATGAATGTGACCGTGAAATCTGGACTTGAGACGCATGAACTCCTGGAACATAAGACATGGAAAACAGACAACCTAACAATGAACAAAGAGAGACACAGTACTTAGATAGAGAGGGAGAGACTTGACGGGCTGAGGAAACATAAATGGATACACATGATCGACAAGAAGAAGAAAATGAGAACAGGACAAAGAGATAAGACACAAAGAGATAACTGGGACACACAAAAGCGAGAGAGACCTAAACACAGAGGACACAAGAGACTCACACTGAGACAACACATTATAAACAACATAATGGGGAGACACAGACATGGGAAGAACCTAAATAGAAAAAAAAAACTAAATTGGAAAACACAAACATAGAACTAACTGAATGTTAAACAATATAAACTAGAAGTAGAACTATATAATACAAGAGCACAAAATTCAGAATACCAGGTCAAAAGACCCAGCCTATGACAGGGAGGACTCACAAACCATATAAAATATACATCTAGTTTCCTCTACTGTAAGCAATACTGTGCTGATTTTAGTATTTTACAGGGATCCATTTTCATTACATATTACTTTTGGTGGGGACTTTAAGGTTAAAGTAAGCCCCTGTCTGTAACTGGTGACCTTCTTCACCAGTTACAAACACCAGTGCATGTTTCCTGTTTTATTTTGTTTCTATGGTCAATGTATTTAGTGATATCGTGTGATGTCATTATGTTCATTTGTGTCAGCTGTTTCCCCATGTGTTTCCACTTTCCTTGATCACCTCCTGTGTGTATTTAGTCTGTGTGTTTTCATTCAGTCCTCATCAGGTTGTTTGTGATGTTCAAGCCACGTTTCCACGGCTTTTTCACGCTGTCCATGTATTCTTCCCAGGTTTCCAAGTTTAGGGTTTTTCATGTTTACTTTCTAGTTTCCCCCCAGTTTAGGTTTTTGTTTAGTGTCGTAACTGATTTTACCTTTTGTTTTATACTCTTTAATCAGCTGCAAGAAACATCTCGCTTTCTGTTAAAAAAAGGTTTCGTTTTGCGTGTTTGCATTTGGGTCCTCCTCACTCCACACAGTCAGCTTCGCAGCCAGACTGTGACAATATTGCTGTCAAAACTAGCTGATTACCAAACTATCCACATCCTTATTTCCCGTTCCTGCGTCAACTTCTTTCTGTTCTCTTAAAAAAAAATTTTGGAAACTGAGCAGCAGCAGCGTTACACGCTCTGAGTTCTGTGTTTGAATACTGACAGTATGACTTGACATTACTGGAACAAAGCTATAACTGAAAACATGTTTGGTCTTAATCCAGAGCTGTTGAAATACAGAAATTCCATTTAGGAGGCAAGTAACTAAAATGAGAAAGGTGGAGGGATCTGAGATAATAACAGCACATGTGAGATGAGATATACTAATGTAGAGCTGAAGGAGTGTTTGTCAGATTGTGTAGACGGTGGTTGGAAGAATCATCTACAAGATAAGAACTCTAAAAGCGCCTTTAACTTTAATCTCATTATTGATAAAACCCTAAATGTTCCAAACCACTGGTTCCAATAAGAGATTTGTCTCTGAGGGCAGAACTCTGCTGCTCAGCAAGTCTGAGGATCTGCCTCATCTGACCTGTGTGATCAGTCTTTGTGTGGAAAACAAAACTTATTAGATGCACTAATCTCTACTTCTCAACTATTCTAATATTGATTACATTTTATTTTGGTTTTCTTGAAAAAACTTACAAGATTACTGTTGTTTTATTATTGTAGGGTCTACCTTACAATATGAGGTGACTGCTGTTGTGATTTGGTGCAAATAAAATTGTATTAAACTGAATCAAAAAACACTCAAAAGTTTTACCTCTGTCAGGAATTTTTTCTCACATCACACGTCCTCTCAGTTAGGCGTCCTGGAGTTTATCCTCTCTGTAGGTGCAGAATTTAAATTTTCCAGCTTCCATCAGCGAGCTGATGAACACAACGAAAACATTATTACCTTAATGACATGGTCATAACAAGTTGCATATTAATGATAAAATTGTTGCATATTGATGACTTTCAGTCATTGTGCAAATGTACTGTTTATAAGGTTGGGGAAACCTGCAGTCACCTGAGATTGAAGTAGTCACTTGGATGAGTGACGAAATGTTTCTCCCAGTGAAAACGTCCAGACGAACAGAATCAACCTTTTGGGGAATACTATCTTAATTTATAACATCAGTTTGTACTTTTTGGAAAAAGGACTCATCTTATGCTATTTAGATTTTACTCTTTGGCAAACTCCCCATCCAGAAATGTAAATATAAAAAAAAATAATAAATAAATTAAATTTCTAAATAAATAAAAAATAAATCACACTTCCTTATTTAAATGAAGGAAGTAGAAGAAAAAGTTTAGTCTTTCTGTAACAACAACCTTTAAAACCATTACTTTAAATCATCAGTATTTAGGGATTAGAGAGATTAAAAATAACCTTCTCTGAGGTTGTCATGTTACATTAATCTGGTTTCCCAGTCTGTATTCAGTATTATGGAAGAACTCCTTGCTCAGCAGAAATCCTGCACTTTTACAAATATCAACAGTAAGTGTGTCCCCCTACTGAGTCCTCACACATCATCACTGAAGCTCTTCATCCCCACACTTCAGATGCCCACTTGTCTCTCAGTCCTTCTCTTTCTCTTTCACAGTTTGATATTAATATCTGTGTTTCCCTTACTAACAGGTCTGTTCATTAAAGTAATAAAGTAAAGCTCCAGTCAGCCTTTATACAGCAGGAATACAGTTAATACCACCTCTGCTCACCACAGGTACACAACACA